CGAATCCTAAAATATGAATGATTATCGAAACGAGACCTAAAAGTGGGCCCAATGGGCCAAACAACACTTCTCCAGTCCATAGATAAGCCCAATCCTTGAATTTTTATGTTGTTTATTTCTTCTGTCAATTTGATTATTATAATTTGAATTGTATCAATTTTATTCTTAATATATTTTTAATTGTGTCAATTTAATCCACTTGATAATGTCATTTTAAAAATTAGATTGAAATTAAGGGCAAAATAATTGAGAAGAAAATTTTCATTTTGCCTTCCAAACTATATGTAGTAGAATAAATAGATTATGTGTCTATTAAATAAGCTTGTTAGTTGTAGTCTATAAATAGGAGATGTAATACCCATTTATACTTGTGTTTTGGAATAAAGAATATACATTGAAATTGGAGTAAAATTTAGTTTCTCTTTCTAACTCTTAGGGGTTTCACCCCAAATTGGGGCATTTGTCTTTTCTCTTTTTATTTGATTCTTGATTTGAATTTAGAGTTCATCACTATCACTCAAAAATCAATTTAACTCATATTCTATATTGTATTGGAATTACAAAGGTAAAACATTCACCATGTCCTTTTAAACAAATCACACCCCTGTTCTTTCTAATTTGAAATAGCATATTCCTTCTTAAATGAATCATTTTATCCTTAATATTAATTCCATTTTTTAACGGATTACTTATTAGACTAAATTAACTTCGTGTGAAAACTTAAATGAAAAAAATGATACAATTGAAGCTACAAAGAACCAAATTGACATAATAGGCAAATTAGATTGCTATCAAATTTCTTAATATGTGTGATCAATTAGACTAAATTGACATAGTGTAAAAAATTAAAAGAAAATTTTGAAACAATTAAAACTGTAATGATCAAATTAATATAAGAAGCAAATTATTAGTACTACACGTATAATATATCCTCAAAAAAATTGACAAATTATGATTCTCTAAAATGATTGTTAGTGCGATAATCTTACATATGTTGGTTTAAGGGTGGTTACGTAATTAACCCATAAGGATAGCTCAGTTGGTTGAGGGTAAGGAATCAGGGACTTAGGAGTATGCTCCTCTTTAGGTTTCAAGTTCGAATCTCACCCCCAGTTGGCTACTGGCAGATCATTGCATCTTAGCCCGGTTGATTAGCTTAGGACCCTGAGATTAGTTAAGGTGCGTCACTCTGAAAGGGTGCTAGTTCGAATACTTGATAATCTTACAAATGTTGCTTTAAGGGTGGTTACATGATTGAGATGCACAAATAATTTAACCATAAACAAAAACAAAAACAACAAAATTAAAAACAATTAAATCTGCCCATGGGAATTCAATCCCCCAGCTTGGCTGCATTTTGCACTTGTCAAGGTTGGTGGCCTCTCTCTCTGTTATGCGATCTCATTTTATTTTAATAAAATCTTCATCACCTATTGAAAAAAATAAAAATAAATAAATAAATAAATTTAATTATGTCAACAATATATTTCAATGAATAGTTTTAGTAATTTTATTATTATATAGAAGAATAGTTATGAATCTGTTTTTATTTTATTTTATTTTTTATTTTTTTGTGTCAACTATGTAAAATGACAAATTTTGATATGGGAATATTTGTAATTTTAAGAACTATATGAAACAATTTGTATCTTAAGAAAACTTTAAGGGATGTATTTGTAATTTATCTTAAATCTGTTGAAACAAAATCAAACAAAGTAAAGAAGACAACCACCACAACAAATATATATACATGCAAATTGAAGAGATGTTGTTAGAATTTACCATCACCTACCACACACTTACCATCACCTACCACACACTCACCTACCACACTCACCTACTCCTCACCTACCACCACCTAACCTACATCTATATAATCAATCAATTGTAACAGAATCATGAATCTATCAATAAATCGATAATACATCAGTTTATTTTACATGGTATCAGAGCAGGTTTAGAACCTAATATTTTCGCTTCACCGGCGGGCGGCAACCTCACCTTAGCCGTCCGCCGGACCTCAACCTAATCCACTAAAATTCTCTACACATACCTTCGCTTTCCTCTTCTCTTCCAGCACCTTCTCATACTCTTGTTCTTGGAAACCCTCACTGCATTCTCGCTTTTTCAGCCTTCTCTTCTCCTCCTCTCTCCAGATCATCGGCAAATACCGGAACCACCGAAAACAGCAACAACAACAACAATGGCTTCAGTGATGGTGGTGGAGCCGAAACCCTTACCCAATCCACCAGCAACCCTCCCAGCCATCCTCCCGGATCCCCACTCCAGCTCCGACGACGAAGACGACCTCTACAGCCGGCTGAAATCCCTGGAACGGCAACTGGAGTTCATCGAGATCCAAGAAGCGTACGTGAAGGACGAGCAGAAGAATCTGCAGCGCGAGCTCCTCCGTGCCCAGGCAGAGGTCAAGCGGCTCCAATCTGTTCCCCTCGTCATCGGTCCGTTCATGGAGATGATTGACGATAGTAGCACCATATACACCGCAGCTATGGTGGTGGTGGCCAACCTCCTTTTCTTCTTCACTACCCTAATGGGGTTTGTTTGCTTTTTTTAGCTTAGCTATAGAAAATGGGCAACCATTTGTTTGCAAATTGAGAGCTAATATTTGATGGGTATTCCCTAATTTGATGTTTACAGAGCATGGATGAGCTGAGGCAATCTCTGCTCTTCGCAACTCTGGAGCTAAAAACAACACAGCACTAGCTTTTGAAATCTATTTTTCACCCCTGCCCATGAACACCACCGACAGAGAGCACATGCATACACATGCTCACCATTCCACATTTTTGAACTGAATAGTACTGGTGGGCCCTACCACTAGCCAAACCAATTTATAATCTTGATTTCTCACTTCTTTTCACCGAATTCCACTCAATTTGTCTCCACTTTGCATTTTTCTCTTTTTTTATTTCTTTTGCTTTTTTTTTATCATGCCATCCACCTGAGTTTGTCCCTCTCTCTCCTACGTTTGCTTTCAAATTTAATTATTATTATTATTATTTTTTTTCCTTTCTTTATTTTATTGTCTCAAAAAAAAAAAAAATTATTATATTAATTACATCTCATTTTTCTGCTCAGTCTTGTACCTTCAAACCATTTAGATTTGCACAATACACTCATTTTATTTCTATCGGGACTTCGCACCTCCACTTCATCCCCTACCACTTCACCTACTACCAAAAAAAAAAAAAAAAAAAAACAAACAAACAAACAAACAACCACACCCACAGTGAGATTTTTCTTCTCTACTCTGCCGCAGATCTCTTCTTTTTGCCTCCGTCCTGGGCAGTCCTTGACGGTGTTGCCTCCGTCTTTCCCGTGCCGCCAAGCCAGTTGCCTCCTCCCTGCTCCTCCACTCTCGCATCTGGTGGACCTCCAAATCGGAACATCACGGTGGCCTTCCGCTTCAGCTCCTTGTTTTCTGCCCTTAGCACGCTTATCTCTGCTCGCGCATCCTTATACATGCGTTGGAGCAGAGCCAGCTGGGAATTTAAATGCTGCACCTCATTTGTCCTACTCTGCAGCCGGTTCGACAAATTTGTGACCGCCGTCATGCTTTCCACACATGCCTTCAAAGTATACTGATTGGCCTCCACATCTGACTGCACTGCCATTCTTTGCTCCACCGACCGCATCGGAAAGTTCAACGGAGCAAACTCCGGGGCGCTTGGTTGAGTTTCCAGTGCCACCGCACCAGTTCTCTCTCTTGTTGACTCGTTGAGGTCGGGAAAGAGGGTGAGCAGTCCACGGGAAGACGAGGACGAGGCCATTTTCTGGGCAACAGAGTGTTACAAAATATCTCTCGCAACAGCGTGTTACAGACTCTCTCTCTCAGCACAACGAAGAGTTTTTCAGACTCTCTCTCAGCACAACGAAGTTTTTTTTCCAGAGGTTTTTCGCAGCTTTTCTCTGCCTCAGCCTCAGCATCAACCTTGGTTAAATAGCCAAGGCAGCCACGCGCATCACGCGCCTCTTGCCACCAGCCGACAAACGGGCACGCAAGCCAAGGCGCCCACGTGCCTCGCCATCATGTCCGGCACACCTTTTGATGAATTGGGCACGCCTTTTGACAAATTGGGCACACCTTTTGTGACAGGGTGCAACTTTTTCAGGGTCCGACAAGACTCTGTAAACTGTCCGGACATAGATTCCGGTTAGTTTCTACAAGGGTCCGACAAGACTCTGTAAACTGTCCCGACATTGATCCGGTTGCTCCTTTATGGGTCCGACAAGACTCTGTAAACTGTCCGCGACATTGATCGGTTAGCTCCTTTATGGGTCCGACAAGACTTTGTAAACTGTCCCGACATTGATTCCGGTTAGTTTCTACAAGGGTCCAACAAGACTCGTAAACTGTCACAACAACTGTCACAGCATTGTCCTGCTACAACGGTCCGACATGACCCCATAAACTGTCCCGACATTTGATTCCGGTTAGCATCTCCAACGGTCCGACATGACCCTATAAACTGTCCCGACATTTGATTACGGTTAGCTTTTTCAACGGTCCGACATGACCTCATAAACTGTCCCGACATTGATTCCGGTTAGCATCACCAACGGTCCGACATGACCCTATAAACTGTCCCGCATTGATTCCGGTTAGCATACAGTGTCCTCTACAACGTTATGACACCACCATGCAGTGTCCTCTACACCGTTATGACACCACCATACAGTGTCCTCTACCATGTTATGACACCCCCATCCAGTGTCCTCTACACCGTTATGACACCACCATACAGTGCCTTCACCAATGGTCTGACACGACCATACAGTGTCTCCTATCTTTTTTTTTATTTTTATGTATTTTCTTGTTTTGTTCCTCTCTCCAAACTCAAGTTGGTTAGTTTCTATCCTCCTTGAGTTTGCGGGGGCTGTTAGAATTTACCATCACCTATCACACACTCACCTACCACACTCACCTACTCCTCACCTACCACCACCTAACCTACATCTATATAATCAATCAATTGTAACAGAATCATGAATCTATCAATAAATCAATAATACATCAGTTTATTTTACAGATGTTCATCAAAATGACTAAAGAAATCTTCATCTCACAAAGCTGAAATTACAAAGATAAAACATTCACCATGTCTTGTCCTGGATAGAACTTATTTAATTGCACAACACATCACTCGCACGCACACACACACAAACACAGCAGAAATCTGGATTATTCTTAATAATATCACTCCAGAGACAAAAAGAGCGAACTGGGGGGAGCTTCTCTTTTTGTTAACCAAGCTGGAGACCTGGAAAGCAACATTGCAAAGTAGGAATAAAATTTGAACACTATTTTGATTAAAAATAATAATAATAAAATAACACCAAAAAGCTAGTAGATTTGGGAAACCAAGCTTATGGAAATTGGAATGCAACCAAAGAGGGAATTTGAAGTTTAAAAGTACTTAAGATATGGAAAGAGCAGTTTTACCTTCATGCTAGGGAATCAGGAGGATTGTCTTTGTCAGTCCACTGGTAAGAAACCAAATGAGACAAATAAGAGACAATGAAATGAAGCCAACTTTTGCTATATATATATATATAATCTAATCAAAGTCAAATGACACACCTTTAGAATTAAGCAATCTTTCAAATTTGATCCCTTCTGGTGACTGCCAGATAATGTTGATGCATGGTATGTGTCGAACCTGTGGTTGTTCCTCGCTGTCTTCTCCACGTATTTGTTCTACGAGCTCATTTGTAACAAAATGCAAATTCAACATTTGGAGATCTTCGAGATACTCGATACCATGAGGCAACATCTTCAACTGCATGCATTTCCCAATAAAAAATTCCTGGAGACCTGGCATCACACCTTTTTCTATAAAAATCTCCTTTAACTGGGGGAAGTTCCCCAAACTCAACTCCCTAAGTTTAGGGAACCCAGTACTAAAGCATAGCTGTTGTCTTCCTTCACATGCATTAATAAGAGTCAAATTTCCCAAACTGGGAAGTTCTTGGATGTAAGGAAGAAGGTCTTCTTCCAGTCTGGACCAATGCAAATACAAAAGCGTGAGATTTCGAAGTGAGTGGAACCAACGGGGAACTTTCTCCAATTTTCCAACTAAAATGAGCGTCTTGAGATAGGGAGGAGATGAGGAGAGTTTATCCATTCGGAGGCATTCGTTTTCATCACTCACCATCACAAATAAGTAATGAAGGAGATCCATTTTTTGGATTGCAATACACAAATCCACCTCATCTGCTTCTCTCAGCTTTGTAATGCCAATCCTCTTGAGCTGCGTCATGTTCCTTAGGCGCTTCATCAAGTCTGATTCTGCTTCTACGCATGCCAAAACTTGCAAGTTTGTTAGCTTGCAAATATTAGCTGGTGCTGCCGTACCATAAACATAATCAAACTCATTGCCATCTCCATGCTTGTTGTAGCGGTACATAATTAGATGCCGCAATTTCTTCAACTTTGTGATTCCAGTTGGGAGAACTTGTATTTTGGAATCCCTAATGTCTAAAGTTTCAAGGTTGCAAAGTCTTCCAATGGATTTTGGAAGTTCCTTCACCTTTGTTCTTTTCAAGTTCAAGTACCTTAAATTGAAAAGATCCACAAGCTCATCTGGCAATTTTTCGATTGGTACATCCTGCAGATCGAAGACTTTTAACAGTCGCAAGCCTCGTGGCAATGATATCTCATCATCATAAAATACAAGAAGAGACCGAAGCTGTTGCAACATGTCGTTCCATGATTGCAATTCTCCACCATTTGTTTGAATCGATAAGCGACGTGCTCCGGTTCCATTTTCTTCCTTATCTTCTTTGCCATCATATACTACACAAAACTTCTCAGTTTCTGATTTGGAAAGGGCAATTTCTCGCACAAGATCGTGCATCTTACATTCTTTCGGCCTACCTGATGGGTTCCTCCATATGACTTGAAGCATGCTTCGGCAAACTAGATCCATAAGGTAGCCATCTGCTACTTCCTCTACTGTTAATCCGTCTCTCTTTCCTACGAATCCTTCTGCCATCCAAAGTCTAATGAGCCTCTTCCGTCGAATCGGATAATCTTCTGGGAAAAGGCAACAATATAAGAAGCATTGCTTTAGTTGGTATGGCAATTCATTAAAGCTATACAACAAGATAGTTTTCACTGCTTCTAGCTCAGGATTATAGCTCAACTCCCAGCTCAAGCTCTTATAAGCTTTTCTCCAATCCGATTCCATATGTTTGGTGGACATGACACCACCCAAAGCTGCAATTGCAAGAGGTAGTCCTTCACATTTTGCAACAAGGTCATGAGCCAAGGATTCGAGCTCTTTAGGACAACATCTACTACGGTTGCTCGAAAAAGCTTTCATACAAAAGAGTTTCCATGCGTCATCCGTACTCAAAGGGTTCATATGATGAACATGACGTTTAACCCCAAAGTTAAAGGAAGCTACGTCTTCCTTTCGGGTTGTAAGGATGACCCGACTTCCTTTTCCTTCATCTGGAAGTGATGCTCTTATATGCCCCCAGAGGTTATGACTCCATACATCATCCAAGACAACTACATACCTTTTTGATTCTAAATAGTTGGTAATCATCTCGAGCAACTCTTTGTGGCTCTTACTACTTAAATCCAATGGAACTGCTTCCTTGGTGGCAGGGCAAAATTCCTTAATCATGCTTCTAAGTAAGTCATCAACTACATAAGTTTGAGACACGGTTATCCATGCATAGCAGTGGAAATGTTGCTTGACAGTTTGGTTGTTATAGGCCTTGGCAACTAGAGTGGTCTTGCCTGAACCACCCATTCCGAAAACAGAAATAACAGTGCGCTGTAGTTCTTTGTCCATCAACCAGCCCAGTAGTTGTCGCTTTCCATCTTCGATCCCCACTAGATCATCATCTTTAACAAATAAAGTGTCCTCAGCGTTGTTTGGCTTCTGTCCCTGATGATCATGGGAGCCAGAACCAGAGCCAGAGCCTGAGCCTGAGTTTGCTCCTCCTACACGATCGACCCCATAACGTTGGTTTCTTTCTGGGATGGCTTTGATCGTCTTGTTGATCTCCTGTAACTGTGTGGCTATTCGATGTCTTACCCACAGATTCTTTGGTGCATAGACTATCTGACAGAGGAGCCTTCTGAATTTACCTTGAACTTCTTGTTTGCTCATGTGATACATGAACTCGTCTATGATAATTTCAGCCTTGTAGGTCAAGTCTCTAACATTGTCCACCCAGGTCTTCTCTCCTTCTGTCTGGGCCGTCGTTCTATCGGCATCCTCTAGAAAAGATTTCATGCTTTTTAACTCCTGCTGGAGTTGGTTGAGTTCATCACGAACTCCTCCAATCAACGACGCTTCGCTTTCAAGTGCGGAAACTATCCTCCCAATCAAAAGGTCCACCCTACAGATTGTGTTAATCTATCAGAGTTTAATAGATTGTGTTAATAGAATGTTTAATAGATTGTGTTAATAGAATGTATTTATTTATTTATTTATTTTGATCTGTACAGATTTTCTACAGATTGTGTTAATCTATCAGAGTTTAATAGATTGTGTTAATAGAATGTTTAATAGATTGTGTTAATAGAATGATCTGCTACTGATCTGTTATTGATATGTTATTGATCTGTTATAGATGTACAGATTTTAATAGATGTATAGATTTTCTACAAATTTTACTGAATGATTCTACAAAATGTCTGTAATTCGGGGATTTGGCGGGGTCGGGGATACCCAATCCCCGATCGGGGTCGGGAGTGGGGAGGCGATGGGGTCCTCGTCGGGGATCGGGGGCGAGGACAGGGAATTTCGCACTATCGGGGATCGGGGACGGGGAGTGTGGTCCCCTGCCCCGCCCCGCCCCGTTGCCATTCCTAATGAATTGGAAGGAATAAAACTCTTAGAAAAAGAATTTATCAAAAACACTCCCTTAAAAATTTAATGAAACTTGAAGGTTCAAAAATTCTTAGTTAAGACTTATGGAGTATAAATTTATAAATTAAAACTTGTGTATATGCCCCATAAATAAAGTGATAAAGTTCATTTTTTTTCCTAATCAAAATACTAGTCTTTTCTTTTATTTTTTTGTAATTTTTATCGAAAAGCTAGTAATATTACCAAACAATGCCTTGTTCTTTACAAGAGCAAAAAAAAACAGGGGGATTTGGTGATAACCCCCTCACTATCTAATTTATCTTTCAAAATGACAAGAATGATATAAGTACTTTCAAAATTCCCTAATATTTTAAAACTTGTTTCTTTTACTATATTACCCTCATATCTATCAGCTCTCCTATTAAGCCATCTTCACTGTGTATTTCAGAGTAAAATTTTACTCTGTATAAAAGTAAAATTTTACTCTGAATAAGAGTAAAATGTTTAAATGTTTTATTCAACGTTTGAAATATAATGTTTTAAATATTCAATGTTTTAAATATATTCATGTGGTGCTTTCCAATTTATGGTCGATTTTGATTTCGTAATTCATCTCCTTCATTCCATGTATGCTGCTTCCGCCTTGTTGGTATCAGAGCCATGTGATGTTGTATCCTGTTTCTAACTGTTTAGCTACTTCTATTCAATCGTCTTTCTTGTTTATTTGATTAATCTTGTTTTCAGTTCATCTTAATCACCCACGAGATCAGTCTGTGTTTATCCACTTGGTTTATGTCACCCACTTTCGTTCCCTGTCCAGTATAAGTCCTTCGGGTTAGGCAGTGTCGGACATAGGGGTCTTCCGAATAGGGTCTGTACTAAAACCAACTGGTGTGTGGTAACATGACAAGAATAGGGTATGTATTAAGATATCTGTAAAACTGATTAATTAAACAAAACAATGAGTCGATTATTTAGAAGTAACTCATCAGTCAGTTCTAGGTTGGAAATTATCTAAGCTTTTATTAATTTTTAAAGTAATAATTTCATCTTCTAATTTGATATCCTTTTGTTGTAACTCTTTGATTGTTTAATTAATCAGTTTTACAGATATCTTAATACATACCCTATTCTTGTCATGTTACCACATACCAGTTGGTTTTAGTACAGACCCTATTCGGAAGACCCCTATGTCCGACACTGCTTAACCCGAAGGACTTATACTGGACAGGGAACGAAAGTGGGTGACATAAACCAGGTGGATAAACACAGACTGATCTCGTGGGTGATTAAGATGAACTGAAAACAAGATAATGTTACACTCTGAAATTAAAAGTAAAATTTTACTCTAAATAAGAGTAAAATGTTACACTCTAAAACTAAAAGTAAAATTTTACTCTGTACAAAAGAAAATTTTACTTTGAAAAACTAGTAAAATGTTAGACTCTACACAAAAGTAAAATTTTACTCTGTATAAAAGTAAAATTTTACTCTGAAAAACGAGTAAACTGTGAGACTCTGAAGCTAAAAGTAAAATTTTACTCTGTACAAAAGTAAAATTTTACTCTGAAAAACGAGTAAACTGTGAGACTCTATAGTTAAAAGTAAAATATTACTCTGTATAAAAGTAAAATTTTACTCTGAAAAACTAGTAAAATGTTAAACTCTACACAAAAGTAAAATTTTACTCTGTATAAAAGTAAAATTTTACTCTGAAAAACGAGTAAACTGTGAGACTCTGAAACTAAAATTAAAATGTTATTCTGCACAAAAGTAAAAAAGCGAAGGTAGTGTTTGTGGCAGCTGAAGTGTTTGGCAATGACCACCTCTTGATAGTAAAATTTTACTGTCATTCTAACACTAGAGTAAAATTTTACTCTAATTCTCTCAAACAAAAAACAGAGCAATAGAACAAGAGTA